GGGATATAGTCAAGGTCATATTTTGGTTCTCCTGGACTTGTTTTTTCTTCCACTTCAACTTGAACATGCATATGAACAGTTGATGGCCCATTCCACAAATAGCTCCTGGCCTTGTTTTGGCTGAAGATATTCAACTTCTCCATTGCCTCTTGCCACAGATGTAGTCAAGCTGATTCCTGTGTATTCCATCTGGTGAAGTCCATGTGTATAGTTGTCAGTTATGTTGTTGAAAAAAGGTATTTGCAATGAATAAGTCATTAGTCTTGCAAAATCCTATCATGACATCTCTGGCGTTATTTCTATCACCAAGGTCATATTTTCCAACTACCAGTCACTCTTTTTTTGTTTCCAATTTTTGCATTCCAGTCATCAGTGATAAGCAACACATCTTAATTGCATGTTTGGTCAATTTCAGACTGCAGAAGTTGGTAGAAATCTTCAATTTCTTCATGTTTGGGTTTGGTAGTTGGTGTATAGATTTGAATAATTGTAGTATTAACTGGTCTTCCTTGTAGTTGTATGGATATTTTTCTATCATTGACAGTGTTGTACTTCAGGACAGATCTTGAAACACTCTTTATGATGATGAATGCCATACCCTTTCTCTTCAATTTGTCATTCCTAGCATAGTAGATCTTATGGTTGTCTGATTCAAAATGGCCAAAACCAGTCCATTCCAGCTCACTAAAGGCTAGGATATCGATCTTTATGCATTCCATTTCATTTTTGACAACTTCCAATTTTCCTAGATTCATACTTCTTACATTCTATGTTCCAATAATTAATGGATGTTTGCATCTCTTTCTACTCATTTTGTCTCTTGCCATATCAGTCAAAGTCTTCTTGCTAGCTATTAATTTTAGTACATTGTTGTTTAAATTTTCTCCATTGTTAATATTTCAATCTAATGACAAAGATATCAAATCAGTCTACATAGTAGATTTGGAAATCATCATTTGAGATTGCCATAGTTATCTAGTGCTGTTATAACAGAAATACCACAAGTGAGTAGCTTTAATGAACCAAGACCATTGCCATCTAGTTGATTCCAACTCATAGCAACCCCTTGTGTTCCCAAGGCTGTAAATCTTTATGGAAGTAGATTGCCTCATCTTCCTCCTGTGGATCAGCTGGTGGCTTTGAACCCCCAACCCTCTGGTTATACCACCAGAGCTCTTTAGCTTTAATGAACAGAAATTTATTTTCTCTGTTTTCAGCTTCTATTCCTATGTTTTTTGGAGAGCGTGTGTTACTCATTTTCACCTCCATTTGTGCTTGCTTGCTAAATCTGCTCTTCTCATATCTCCAAAGGACTTATTTAAGAAACACTTTATACTAATACATCCTCATTAAGACACTTAAGAAAACTCATTCCCAAATGGGATTGTAACCACAGCTATAGAGGTTAGGATTTACAACACATATTTTGTGGGGGCACAATTCAACTGATAACAGAGATTTTAATCTCTAAACCTGGTATGGATTTTACATTTTCTGTTCTAAGAATAGGGCCATAAACTCAACAGCCCACTGTTTTTGAGTAGTACAATCTGATACTCTGTAGATCAGCATAAATACATATTAAATGGAGACATGGTCTTTGTAGGCATTGTAGTGCCAAGATCAATACATACTTCTAGAATGGATCTGGAATGGATTTGCAAAGTATATTTATAAAAATTGTAATAATGGCTATGATCTACAGGCAGATTTATGCATAGACGCTCCTCTTCTTCCTTGTCCATGCTCTATCTCTGCCCACTCCCCAACCTTAGTCAATGCCAGACTGACTAAAACTCCATTACCAGAAATTCATTTGGGCGTTGTAATCCTCAAGTATCTTCTTTTAAAGTGTAAATATTCATGGTAGACTGCAAATTATTATTATCCTTCAATGTTACTGTTGTTAGTTACCCTCAAGTCAGCTCCAACTCATAGCTATTCCACGTACAATATGTATGGACATCCTGGCAAAGATCTCTGGCTTTTTGTTCAAGATCCTGCATCTGATTCATCATCATATGGACTTGAACCAGGGGCCTGCTGTATTCTTGTCAATCTTGGGCTTGTTGCCTTTGCAGTTTTGTGAGACAACAATCTACCGTTTTACCTGCCTATCTTGGATTTGTCAGCCTCTGAAGTTGGCAGCCTGCTAAATTGCCTGCTGATCTTGTGTTGTCAGCTATATATTAGCATCATTGGTTTTGCTTCTCTAGAGAACTTAGTCTTCTTATATCTTTTAATTGATTAATTTTTTAAAGTAAATCACCAGGTCTTTCTTCCTCATCTGTCTTAGTCTGGATGCACCACTGAAACCTGTCCACTGTGGGGGACCTGCTGGTGTTTGAAATACCAGTGGCATAGCTTGCAGCATCACCACAACATGCAAAACATTACAGTACAACAAACTGACAGAGGGGTCTTGGTGTCCTCCAACAATTTATTGAGAATTTATCAATTCCTTTGTTTTCTGATGACTAGCTAAAATCATTTTTGGAAGGGAATAGGTTATGGAGGAAGAATGAAAGAAAGAGGGAGACTGAGCATAAGGAAGGGGGACAGAAAAGGAGTAATTTTGGAGGAGGCAGTTCCTAGGGAGATTAGGTCTGGGAAAGCAGAAGCTGCTCAGTTAATGTGTAGTAAGAGGTAGGTAGACAAAGAGGGAGTTTGGGGAGGGTTAAGAAGATAAATTTCATCTATGTCATGATTCGTATCACAATTAGACCTACAGTTGTTATGTGCCATCGAGTCGGACCCAACTCATAGTGACCCCTCCTTGGGTTTCTGAGGCAGTATCACTACAGAAGTAGATTGCCCCATCTTCCTTTCGAGGAGTGGCTGGTGGGTTTGAACCATCAGCCTTCTGGTTAGCAGTCAAGTGCCTTAGGCACTACACTACCAGAGCTCCCAGACCTGCAGTTAGGGCTATTTTATCCCACAATGCACAAGGGGAAAACATTTTCTACTCTACTTCAATTTTGCTTCAAAGAAGAAAAAAGGATATTCCTGTTTTTCTCTCTGCTTTCTCATCATTTCAGTAAGAAGTCCACACTGATCTAACCTGGTTTATACTAACTTCATGTGTCTATTGTTCAGATAATTTATTTGATAATTATATAGCCTTGTAATATCTCATATCATCTTAGATTCTTGGCCAAATTTTTTATTGCTATTGAGCTTATCATGTGTGTCATATTCACAATGATACTGTAAATCACTTTCTGGTAAGTACAGTATGTTCTGCTTTTTAAAATCTATTATGGCTAAGTGTACAATGCAATGCATCTAGCAGATAGAATTGGGTTTTGGTGTTTTGTTGACTTGAACTGAGGGGAAGTCATAGCTTCTCTGCTCTAGTCCATGGGATACTGTTTCCTTTGATAGAGTTCACAGTGACTGTCTTTGAAATAATACTTCATTCTCCTAATTGCTAATCAAGCAGATAACTGAACTGTCTTGATCTTGGTAAATGCCACAGAGGGGAAAAAAAAAATCACCACTAAAAAGATTAAAACTTTTATCAGAAGAAAGGAATCCCATGAGCCTCCTCTTCATACTGTGATTGCATTAAGGAGCTTTTATACCAATGAAATAATATAGGATATAGTATAAAGATAACTTCATCTTATGTACAATAATGCATACTTCTCACATTGTGAGGGTCCATGCTAAATATGCTTCAATATTAACTTGTTAATGAGACGTGATTGAGCTTCTCCTTTTATCCTTTTCCAGAACCTGAATTTAATCTTATAGGATAAGCAAAAAATAAATACACTTAACAGGTATGAAGGGGAAGTGTTGCCACTGGAAATAAACTGTTTACTACAGACCAGACAAGGAGCTCTGATGCCTAAGGCATTTGACGGCTAACCGTAAGGTTGGAGGTTCAAACCCAGCTGCTCTGCGGAACCCAATGGAGGTCGCTATAAGTTGGAACCAAATGGATGGCAGTGAGATTGTTTTTTTTTTTTTTTTTGGTTTGAGAGGTTGGACACTTTCATTGACTAATTTACCACAGTCCAGGGGCCAGTTCACCAGTTCACCAGTTCACTGAGTTAGAAATCTGCATCCTGAGGCTTTTTGACAGCATTCCAAGAGACAATCTGCCTTTTACGATAACCAGTTAAACCAGTTGCTGTGGAGTTGATGCTGACCATAGGATTTTCAATGGCTAATTTTTCAGAAGTAGATCATCAAGCTTTTCTTCTGAAGCGGCAAAGTCAAGCATGGAAGTCAGACAAACCGGTCTGGGTTCGGTTGTGATAAGAGCTAGGTCTCCCGGCGTTGGTCTGGGTAGCGTTTATATGCTAGACAAAACTCCTCGTTTTTGCAGCTTTTGTGTCTCCGAGGGTCAGTGCTGGGGTCCTGGGCCGCTCTGGGCAGGCCTAGGGTCCGGTTAGAGGCACCTGTACGGCGCTCGGCCCAGGTGCCGGAGCAAAAACTTCCCTGAAATAAGTCCGCCTGGCATCCAGCCACGAGCTGCCACTCTGTCGCCAAACGAGAAGGCCTGTAATTGGGTAAAGTACGGAAACCCGAGCATGTCAAGCCGCCGCCTGTTGTTCAAACTGCACCGTTATAGATGGCGCACCTACAAACGCCGGGGCCCCTGCCCTCGCTGTCTGGAGGGGACAGTAGTGCCGGGAGCTCTGTGAATTCTCTTGGCAAGGTCCTCCTAAAAAGCCGCAGGCCTGACGCGAGCCCCGCGCAAGTCAGAAGGAAAGTGAGGCACAGAAATAAACTCTGGGACAGGGCGAGCACAGTCACCTCAACTTCGCTGTCCAATCCCTCTCATAGACCCCCTTCTCTTTCGTCAATCCCTTCGCCCGTGGGCCCGCCTCTTCCGCCGACCTCCCATCTCTAGGCCCCGCCCCTTCCGGCAGACCCGCCCCTCCCTGCCCACGTGTGGTCCTGAGACGAGCTTCAGGTCCCAGCACCAGTCTTCCGGGCAGATCCCCACAAGTGTGTGGTTCACGTCGCGACCCCCGCCCCTCCCAGCCATGAGGGTCCCCAAGAGGAAGGCCCTCAACGGCCAAGATGGCGCATCTTCCCTCGCGGGTGCAGCCAAGCGGGCTCGCGCTGACGAGCTCACCGGCATGCAGTTCAAGGCTCAGCTGAGGGACTCACAGAACGCGGGGCCAGGTGAGTGCTGGGCGATGGTCCGGGTCCAGGTGCAAGTGCTTCGGAGGCGGTCTCCCGGCCTTGACCTGGGTAGCGTTTGTATGCTAGACAAAACCTCTCCTTTTTGCAGCTTTTGTGTCTCCGAGGGTCAGAGTCAGGGTCCTAGGCCGGTCTGGGCAGCCCTAGAACTGCCAGCGGTGCTTCTCCTCCCTAAGCCGTCAGCAATAGCAAGAGAACCACGACTTGCTTGTTTGTGACATTTGCGCATGACTTAACTTTTCCTTTCCTTGGGCAGCATTCCTCAACAGGTTAAATAGCTCTTTATTGGATTTGTCAGGAAAGTAGACAAATGTTTATTAATTCCGTACTGTGAGTCAGCTCTGGGCTGTTTATTTAGGTGGTTTGCTACTATTTGAGCTGTCAGCATTGGTCCTTCAACACCACACTCATTTGACAACATGGGACAGATTACCTGAAACCACCAAGGTAACCTGTTAGTTGACCAGGATTGAACCGGTGACTGATGTGGAGCAGATTCTATCGTTGAATTTCATTTTTGAAAAATGTGTACTTCCTTCACAAATACTTGTGATCCTTTGGAAGATGTCAGGTTAGGAGGAAAAACACAATTGAGCATGAATGTGGAAACATTGTGCTAGTATAACATAATGACTGTTTCTCCCAAGTGAAAGAAATTATTAGGTTTATGACCAGAATTTTCTTTATTTTGCATTTTCCTCTCATATATTTTGCCTTTAAACTTTTAATGTCTGCAATTGCTAGTCAGTGCTAGGAAGATGATACTTGCTTTAGCAAATAATTATGCATTCATTCACTCCATAAATAAGTATTTATTAAACCAGTTACTGTTTCGTTGTCTGCAACTCGTGGAGACCCCACGTATGTCAGAACTGTGCTCCATAGGATTTTCAATGGCTAATTTCTTTGGAAGTAGATTGTCAGTCCTTTCTTCCACGGTGCCTCTGGGTCGATTCAAACCACCAACCTTTCAGTAGTAGCTAAGTGCTTAACTGTTTGTGCCACTGAGGGACTCTTGAGTATGTATTGTTGTTGGGTACCATTGATTTTGACCCATAGTGACCCTTTATAAGAGAATGCCGCAGAGGGTTTTCTTGTCTGTAAGCTTTATGGAAGCAGATTACTAGGTCTTCAAACCACTGGGTGGGTTTGAATCATCAACCTGTGGGTTAGCAGTTGAACGCCTAACTGTTGTGCCACCAGGGCTCCACGAGTATTTATTAGTGATTATTATTTGGAATAGGAGGCTTGGTGGCACAGAGGTTAAGTGTTCAGCTGCTAAATGAAAGGTTGGTGGTTTGAACACACCAGCCGCTCCCCAGGAGAAAAAAACATGATGATCTGCTCTCATAAAGATTGCAGCCTAGGGAACTATAAAGGCAGTTCTACTCTGTCCTATATATATGACAACTCAGCAGCACCCAACAACAACAGGATTTGCAGATGGCTATTGTGCTTGGCTACCAACTGAAAGGTTAGCTACTCTGACACACATTGGGTTGCCATGAGTTGGAGTTGACTCCATGACAATGAGCAGTGGTAGACTATTTACTAGGCTACAGATAGAATGGTAAGTAAAGATCACAGTCCTGCCATTGTGGGCTTACAAAGTCCAGACACATGTCCATCAATAAAATCATATATGTAGAGTGCCAATTGTAACTCTTCAAAACAAAAGAACCCACTGCTATTGAGTCGATTCTGACTCATAGCAACCCCCATTGGATTTTCAAGGCTGTAATCTATGTACGAAGTATGAATCTAGGAAAATTGGAAGTTGTCAAAAAGGAAATGGAACACATAAAGATTGATATCCTCGGCATTAGTGAGCTGAAATGGACTGGTTTTGGCCATTTTGAATCAGACAACCATATGATCTACT